CACAAAAACAATATGTAATTATATATGTGTTTTCCGATGGTCTTAGGCGACCCCTGTGAAAGGGTCATTTGACCCCCAAAGGGGTCGCGACCCACAGGTTGAGAACCGCTGCTCTGGACGCTGGAAGGCTGGATGTGTCTCCCTGTCCACCTGCCGGTCTCCCCGTGACTCCGGGCCCTGCCGCTGCCGCCATCTCTCCGTGTCCGGCAGAGGGCAGCCGCGGGCTGAGTGCCTGCGGGGCCAGGGAACAGCCCGCGAGTGTGGGCGGCGGCGGCGGAATTCTCCTGAAGGCGGGGGTTTGAATGGAGGCGCGGGCAGGCGGGGGAATTTGAACCCAGAGCCAGGGGAGCGGCTTAGATCCTGCACTGAGGCCTGTCGCCAGCCTTTCTCCAGACCTGTCAGTCCCTCCCTCCTTCCCCCGGGAGAGGGCTAAGGCTCCCCCGGGGCGGGGGAGGAGGAGGGAGTTGGGAAAACTGAGGGCTGAGCCAACGTGGGAGCGAAGGAAGCCGGAAGTCAGCTGGGGAGTCCTGCGCAGCCCCAGGGGACCCTGCACCGCGCTGCTGGGGTCACAGGACTGTGGGAGAATGAGCACTCAGACGTGGCTGCACCGGACATCACACTGTCACAGATCACACAGCAGTATTGAGTTGAAATGCATGCGCCCTGACCCAGCAATTTCACTTCTAATAATATATCCTTAAAAAGTGATATTAGCCGAGCCGGCTTGGCTCAGTGGGTAGAGCGCGGGCCTGGGAACTCCAGGAACCCGGGTTCAAATCCGGTCAAGGGCACATGCCCAGTTTGCGGGCTTGATCCCCAGTAGGGGGCGCGTAGGAGGCAGCCGATCCATGATTCTCTTTCATCATTCATGTTTCTCTTTCTCTCCCTCCCCCTTTCTCTACGAAATCAATAAAAAAATATATATTTTAAAAGTGATACTAGGCTGCATAAAGATTTCCCACACTTCGGCCAATGACATACATGGCAAGGACATTCTCCTTGGTGTTATTATTATTACTATTATTATTATTTATTTATTTCACAGAGAGGAAGGAAGAGGGATAGAGAGTCAGAAACATCGATGAGAGAGAAACATCGATCGGCCGCCTCCTGCACACCCCCTACTGGGGTACATGCCCTTGACTGGAACCGCACCTGGGACCCCTCAGTCCACAGGCCGACGCTCTATCCACTGAGCCAAACCGGTCAGGGCTTGTTATTATTATTATTATTTTTAGTCCTCACCCGAGGATATGTTTATTGAATTCAGAGAAAGGAAA